AATTTTTATCTCATTTCTTCAGTTCTCTACTGTGCACAAAAATCTACTGCATTTTATAACACTTGAAAATATATATCGCAAAATTAGTAGTATTCTTTATATTTATTAAACGCAATACGCAGTCAGCTATAACATACATGGCGAAAATTTAACCGTAAACACCAATACGTTAAATGTAAAAACCCCATGTTTCAGCTAATCACTAGCCAAAACGAATACATTACAGAGTATTCAATTGTTTAATAATCTTGGAATCGACCGTGTTATAGTTTCATTGTATCCTTTCCTTTCTTCGGATACGATCGTTGTTACTATAGTTTTTTCTGCAGCAATTTATAATAGGTATCCGAAAATGGTGTGAAACATTCGAGTATATTTTAGATATCAGGTACTCGAAACGAGATATACGATTCAGAAGATTATGGACAAAAGCCACATTTAGCATAACACGTCTGCTTTTAAGTGTGAGCAATTTTATAACCCTAAAATTTTAGGGTATACATCGCAAGCAGAGCAGTAGAAACTGTCTTTGTACGGACTCAATCTGTTTACGATAAACGTCATATTGTGTATCCCTGATAATCGAACAACTTTACAGAATAGCTCTCGTTGGCGACATATATTGCAAAAGAGTAGTGTAATGAGGCGATGTATTGAAAGCATTGATCTGGCAAGAAACCATGTCCTGACATTTCTTAATATTTGGAGGCACTAGATTGGTAAAGTACCATTTGTACTAATTGTCAAGGTCCTCCGGAAGGTAGAGATGGGCTTAACTATCACCCCACCTTTAGGCAATTTTAATGTCATCAGCATACATTAGAACCCGAGAGTTTTTTATGCAGGGCCGAGATAATTGCCTTGAAGAACTCCGGATTGTACTACGACTTCTTTAGAGGATGCATCATTAACGAGTGCATGTTGAATCTATTGGGTTACATAAGAGTGTACCCACGTTCATTATAACCAATGTTCTATTTCGAAGTATATTGTGGTTGATCTTATCGAAAGTCTTGCAGAATTTTACATCTCTTTGTTTCCGATCGTTGAAAGCTGCATTCATTAACGCAACGGGTTCCCGCAACTTGGAAGCTGGCAAGCAGCAATTTGTCACTTACCTGTTACAAATTCTTTAAACAGCTTGGGAATGGGGCTTATCATAACTTTCAAAGCAAATAGTTGCAGATGTGGTTATCGGGGCCATGTTCGGGTGTACGCTTATCAGAAGAAGACTGCAATATTTCTTTCTATGGAAAGATAGTCAGTTTTCGTGCAGAGAATATATATAGTTTCACATAAGAGACACGTCCGCTTTTTATTCCGGGGGAAGTTTCCTTCTAAAAAAGGAAAAAGAATTTGTTGTTAATAATTTAATGTCCTTCCCAAATTCTCTCGTTGCAATTTCAATTTGCTAACTTAGTACCATAAAAACGTTCGAAAGGCAGCATTTGACAATACGCCCAATGGATTCGTTTTATGGAAATATCAGGGTCCGGTAGACAACTTCCATAGAGAATTCGTAGATTATTGAAGCAAGTCGGTTTTCGTGATTAACTGATAAGTTGAAATGGCAAAAAGCAAATCCTCCGGCTAAATCTTATGAGCAAAATATGAAATAAGGCGCTTACTTCAGAAGACACGCTTAATGTGTTCTTTGACCAACTTGAAACACTGAAGCGACTTAACTGTTTCCCCGTGGCCGTTTACTTTGGCTTATTCTGAAATTAAAAAAAAATTTTTCTTGGGTTTCATTTAGCAGCAAAAATTGGAAAGTGGCGGCGATAATTAAACAAATGAAACAACTTTGAAAACAAACGAAACATCTTTTCTACTCTGCTCTCTACTAATAGGGAGCTACGATCTTATTTTGTCTTTACTTTGGTATCTCATGGTTACTCCAAGATGACGAAAACTTTTATATATAATTCTGGCGAAACCATCTAATTCTTAATACTTCCTCTATTCTCTCTATTCTATATCAACTGACCGGTTACTTAATCACTTACGAATTACATTCCATGGGCAGAAGTTTCCTTAAATATTTTCAATAGGTTATTAATAATCCTGATAATGTAATCACTTGGTTGTAAATCATATAATTTAAAGGAACAATGCGTGCCATCGATTGTCAAAATTTCGCGCCATTTCTACTATTTGTTTGCGAATGACGGCGGTTTAAGTGATTCTACCTCTTACCACTATTTTCGAAAGGGAGGAAATTAATCATTACTTAATCGTTGGTATCAGAAATCGCCAAGATATCATGACAGTTTGTATTGTTACGAAATTTGCTTTTCTCGGATACGGTTCGTATCACTAAATCCTGGATATTTTTTTAAAGAGAAATGCACTTGCATGCTTTTACTTCAGGACTCTTTTATTTACAACCAATTTGTTTAAGGGTAGGGCTATTTACATTTTACTTTAGCAATACTCACGACTTCTCAACTCAAATATTCTTTTTCGACCCAAACGTCCTTGTCCTACTATCCCTGCCTTCCGCAAATAGTCTATTTATATATATTTTTAGAAGCATATTATTATTGCACAAGTTCATGGCTTCATTTTTAATCCGTTAACGTGCTTTTTCGCTAATCGTTTTCCTCGGCCGGCAGCTGCATGACGCGCCGCGAATGTGCACTTGGGTTTTGCCTCTCTAGGCATTTTTTTTTTTTTGGCAATCAATTAGTTGGAATGAACTGGATTCGAGATTTCCGCAACAGTATACACTTTTTCAAGCGAATGTGTAACCATGAGAGTTCTTTAAATAAATCTCGCTTTTATATAGCGGATAAAAAGGACTGTGCCACTATTCAAATGTTACAAGGGCCTAGTTGCTTAAATTGAAGTTTGATTTTGCTGCTCTACCTAAAGTGTTCTTCAAATCCGTATCCCAATGAAGTCACAACGATGGTCTTGAAAAAACGTTTTATAGAAAAGGCATGGAAATATTGGAATTATTTGTATGTGTTGAAGAAGAGTTTATTGAGGAGTAAACTCGAATTTGGCAAGAAAGGATGAAAGACATTTCTTTTGTCTTGAGGTTTATTGTTCTATGAATTGGTCTAATAATACGTTAACGTTTCTAAGATTCTTAGTAAATAATGAAACGGTTATGCGAATAGTTTAGGTGGTGGAATGTTTTATCGATCTTCTCCCACCTGTGTTTATTAATTTAATTTTACCGAATTATTGGGAGCCACAACCGAAAACATTTTTCGAATGATTTAAAACCCAGTGGAACCGAAACACTGAGACTTCATTCCAGAATTCTAAGAAAGGTATCGGTCAGAATGCATTACCGTGTCCAAAAAATAAAGTGAATTCGTTTATAAGATGAAAAGTCTTTATTTGTTCTTCTAAATCTCAATGTATACGCCTTCCAAGTTATTCTTCGGTTTTAAAGTTTCTTGAACGAAAACAATTGGGACGGCGCTAAATTGGGCTAATACGATGGTAAAAGGAAATAGGTCAATTTCTCGTCCAAATTTTTTTAAAGAACCAATGAGTATCTTCGGAACCTATCGAGATTTACCGCCTTTGAAATGTAAAATATTTTTTAAAATGGTTTGGATTGATTTAAATCATACGACCACATCAGCAAGGCATCCAATTGTTCGTCGACGATTTTCGAGCATCAAATCTTTGATTTCGTTGATGTGGCTTTCACTGGTATATGATGTTGTTCATCTGGAGCGCGTCTTATCTTGAAACCATTCTACTACTATATATATATCTATACTATATATATATCTATATGTATTGGAAATATTTCCGAAAATAAAGGTGGAAATTAAGTTTCATCCGAATTAAGACGATTTATAATTTGCAGGACTTGCAAAGGATTTTTCTTCTACTAACTCAAATCTTTCTTTCCTGTGGTATGTGTTGGACATATCCTTTGAAAAACTTTCTGAAAAACTCTATAGAAATAAAAAAATAAAGGAATTTGGATAAAGTACAGCAATTGTTTTGAGGAACAAATTCAGTGAAAATACCAAATACCTTCCGTAAGAATTTTTGTGGATCGGTTTTCAAATTCAAGCATGATGGAATGTTTTGCAATTAAGCAATTATCAGGGTAATAAATATGACCAGTGATAAAGTCGAAAGTATTAAATTTTCGCTGCTCTTCCATACTTGACCAGCATATTCGGAATCTTAAATAGAAAAAGAAAGAAAATATCATCCATTTAATTTAATTGGGTTACAAAGTTTTAGTTTCATTGCATTCATCCATGTATGTATTGTGGCGTCTTTCGTAATTATTCGGTTGTTTTTATGAACCAAATTCCCAGCCCTGCGATAATGCCTTCCCACCCTCAGTCAAGATGCGTCCATCTATGCAGTTATTTATGATAAATCCATACCGAAAAGAGGAACAAGAACAACTCATATAAGCGGAATAATTATTATTTTTGTAACAACAATATTCTCACTTATATTCATACGTTTCTGGCCATGATAGTAACGGCAAAACGTAGAGAGTTGCCGGCGGTGTCATGTGTGTCTGTATTATGTTCAATATTTGTTGCGGCGGCCAGAGGCAAATTTTCTTCTTTTCTTCATCAATGCGTCGTTGTTATTGCTGTTGTTATTGTTGTTGCCGTCGTGTGCAAAGATGCACAAGATTTTTTTTAATTTTTGTGTGGAAATGTGTGTAAAGCGTACATAATCGGATTCGTACGGAAGTGAGGAAGAAAAAGTATGGTGACGCGCTCGTACCGCGCAATTTCGGCAAAGCAAGCAAACTTTTTATGATCAGCAGATATAAAATTATTTTCAGTTTAAGAATTTTCATCACACATAACGGATCGCTCTTAGCAAACAAGCCAAAAACAAAAACAGTAAGAAAAAAAACCTCGACTTTGTGCCAATGGGGACAAAATATATCTTGTTGCCTTTGTAATGTAGATCATGTAGTTTAAAGAAAAAAAGCTCTATACACATGAACATATTCGTACTTTTAATAATCAACTTTGCATTTTTGCCCATTTAAGGTAAACAACGGTTCAAATCATTATCATCAAACTGTAACGGACTACGCCAAGCCGAACAAAGGCACCTCACATTTAACTCAAACCATTACTGAAACTACGACTGTAGTAGAAGATCATCAACCCGATCAGTTAGATTCTATGCTAGGAAGCCTACAGGCCAACATGAATCGTCAAGGAGTCAATACCGTGCAAAAAGGATGCTGCAGTGCCTGTGAAAAACCAATAGTCGGTCAAGTGATTACTGCCTTAGGTAAGACTTGGCATACGGAGCACTTTTTCTGCGCTCAATGCGGTCAACAATTTGGCGAAGACGGCTTTCACGAACGTGATGGCAAACCTTATTGCCGTAACGATTACTTTGAAATGTTTGCTCCCAAGTGCAATGGTTGTAATCGGGCCATCATGGAGAATTATATATCCGCTTTAAACTCGCAATGGCATCCCGACTGCTTTGTCTGCAGGGTAAGTTATAGTAATTCTTTAAATTTTTGCAAAATTTCCGCTCGTTAAGTTAAGCGATTCAATTTCTTTTGCTGTCAAGAGAAATATTTTTAATATTAATGGATTTTTATTAATTGATTTTCTAGGACTGCAAGAAGCCAGTACGGGGCAAATCTTTCTATGCAATGGAAGGCAAACCCGTTTGTCCCTTATGTGTAGGTGTGGATGAAGAGGAATAATGATCAAAATAGTTTTTGTTTTTCTGCGAATTTTTTTCATTTTAATTTGCAAAAAAGAAAAAAGGAAAAGTTAATTAGAGGATTGTACACTGAATTACATTTAATAAAATTCGGCAGCTATTTTGGGTGGCATTTGAAAAGAAAATAAACACCATAAAAAATTAATAGAAATATACACACTCACTCCCACACATACATACGTGCGCGCGCGCACCCACAAACAAACATATACATACACCCACGTATAACGCAGAATTAAAACAATATATATTCGGATACTAATGGATACTAAAGAAATTTATTTTGAAAAATATTCCTCTTCCACCATTACCAACAACATTAGCAAATTTTGGATATGTCTATAATCAAAGCGAGAATATGTGGATATATGCTAAGATTTACCATAGCCCAAATATTAAAATGACTTCTTCTTCCAAAGCATTTTGTGTCAATTTGTTGTTTTGTCGTCTAAACAAAATTGACCGTTTTGTGCGGAATAGTAAGAAATAGTCAACTATTATGGTCTGATGTTTGTCCCCCTATATATATTTTATCTCAAATTTTTATTCTTTTTTAATTTTTGAATGCTTTACAACCACAAAATGCTTTATTCCAGTCAGCAAAGAAACTGCAAAAACAACAACAAACGCAATTAGCTCAGCAAACAATTAAATTAAGTTTTCTTAGGCAAATGTTTATTTATTTGTAAATTTGTATTGTTTTCGTTTTTTATAAAATAATATTGTTATTGTAAATAAAACTAATAATTGTAATAATAAAAAACAAAAAAATCAAATAAAAACAATAATTATACATTCAAGGCTATTTCTTAGCCATATAACCGCCGGTCATTAGTTGTTCAACCAAAATAATAATCGATGACGGCAAATGAAGGCCATTCGATGCTAGTCTTATTTCTTTGACCGTGAGTCAACTACCAAGGTCATGTACATATATGAAGTGGTTACCTTTTCTAATAGGCGCGTTTATGCACTTGTTTTCAGCTATAGTGTGTGCTTTTGTTGTTGTTTTCAGTTTCCTTTACTTGCATCACATTATATTATCTACTAATGTCAAAAACATCGTTTCCTCATTCTGTTTACATTATCGCATTATGCTTATCAAGATCGCCATTACTGCCGATTTCTTTTTCTCTACGAATTTTAACGCAAATTATGTTGTGTTAATCAATTGATATTACGCAGAATTTTAAATTTCTTTCGTAATTATTCCACAAAGATTCTCTTATTCTTTTAGCCAAGTCGATTATAGAACTTTTTTCACAATTTCAAGTAGCATCTATTCATCTATCTACGTTTGCCTATGAATATTATTAAAAATGTAAGTTAATTCAATCGGTGAAATATTCAAACCGTATTGTTTGCAAAACAAGTCTTTTTCACCACCGATGATAATAAAATGAGTCTAAAATATTAAAAGGTTGCACTACTAACTCACTTATAACATGACCGATACATGCGGCGAATTCTCACTATCTTTCATGCTATCTACTCATTTCCTAAACAAAATCATAATTTTATGCACAATATGCACAGCGTCTCTAATATCAGGTGATGAATTGAAATGTGGTGTCGATAACGCTGTTTTTTAATTACATTTAAAAGGAATAATATTTTTGCGTTTTTACTCGTCTCGGATATCGTAGAGTAATAGTAACCCCAAGATTTTTCTATATACGATTTCACATTTTCATGTCTAGCCTAGTACAACACTATTGGCCAATTTTTCTTTTATATAATGTTACGTCTCATGTCTACTAAAGTAATTATAACGAACATTCTTCTATATATGCAAAATAGTATGGCTAATTTTTTTCTTAGCAAATTCCTGTTCCTTCCTGATTTGCAGCCAATGTTTCTTCTATTATGTAAGACTGACTAACTTTTTGATTATTATTTCTTATTTTAGAAGATCTTGTAAATATGCTTTCCAGCTTTAGTCTATACTGGAGTGACAACAACCAGTATTTTTCCAGCCTGACTCAGTACAATCATGTATTTTTGTTAGCGTATTCAACGCCTTCTGTCTAATCGAGCAAATAATGATCAATGTTTTTCTGCTTAAGGTCGACATTTTTCAGGTGTTTTCCAGTGAACCGTAATATTCGGTTTTCCACATTATATAAATACGATCATCATTACATCTAGTAGAGTTATAACGATCAAAATTTCCGATGTATGATCTGTTTTTTTAGTTATTCGGGAAATGTTTGCACCACGATCATAAATTTTTTTTTTAATTTTCTTTGAATTGAACCGTGTGTTGAAGTAGAGTCTTGTTCATTCAAAACCTGTAGAGTCCGAAGAAAGGCAACAGGATTTTCATTATTAGCCCATTCATATCCTCGACTGGGCCCCTATTTGCCTCATCTAATTGTGAATTCTTCTGTTACCTTAAAATTACTGAATTCCCTTTACCGACTTGAGCATACTCCTATCGCCGAGAAAAGTTTGGTTAGCCTCATGGGGGCCATACTTGACCATCACAATACCTTGCATTTAATTTGTGTCAGTACTCTACTGCACTATATTGTACATTTTTTTAGTTACTGTGTGTTAATTGACGATCTGCATTATTTATAATATGTAGTATGTTGGTCTACACTAACTAGCGATCTGCATAATTTAAAAGATTCGACAAAATTATTTTAATTTTTGTTTGCTATCAGCCAAAAACCATATGAAAACAATTAAATGAAAATAAATATTTGAAAGCAAACGAGAATATTATACACACCTTAGTGTAATGACGCGCGGATATGCAAATTCTATTCGAGATGTACCGCACATATTTCACTGAACACTAAAGAAAACGTTAACTAATTTCGAGATCGTAGCATATGTGAATAGAAATTGAAACAATGAAATGAAAGCGTTCATCTTGTGCGCTTTACCTAATGCTTTCAATATTTTATTAGTCTTTCCCGACGAGATTGAAAAGCTGGCGACTTCTCATTGGTTTTCTTGATTGTCATATAATCATGAAAATCTTCGAATTAAAGAAATAATAGCCGGGCACGAGAGCATAGCAATCTGTTGCATGTTCTTTATCACGAAGAATCTATCAAAGGTAGTACGGTATCGCGGGTGTCAGGTAACATGCGATGGTGATGTGAGGTCGGCCTGATGCTTGACAACGAGCTTTTGGAGAGTTTCGCCGTAAGCAAACTCGCGGAACGTGCATGTTGGTTTCAGAAAGGGCGACACAACAAGTTTGCTGTATCTTATCTTATCTTAAATATCTAGCCGCGTCTCACGGGATGCAGCGAATGCCGCAATATTGATATCGCGTACTAACATACATAAGTAATGTGAAATAATTCAATATTATCATGTCCTTTCGTCCGTTCTCCCTGTTGGAAAAATTAAATTAAAATTAAAAAAAGCGTGGTCACAGTTCCATCTTGTCCATTTCCAATGTGAATCTACTTACAGCAAAAGCGACGTCTATATCAAACTGGATGTCTATAATTTATTTTTTAAAAACATGAGTTCATTAAAAACCAAGGAACAGACAGACGACAAGTAGCTTAGTGGACGTAAAATTACACATCGAGAAACACTGCATATCCATGTTTTGTAAAATTACAGCTTGAGACCTTATATTGAGAAGAACTATGCATCCTTTTACAGTCTATCGGTAGAGATAGGTGTTACAAACAAAATGACAAAATCACATTCTTGACGGTGCTGTGTAAGAAAAGTAAAAAGAGCTAATAAGAAATTTTTGCGAATTTTCTAATAGAGATCATAAATTAACATTTATTAACAATATATTTAATTTTTCGTTATGCTGTTTCATGCTATTTTTATCATTGTCAGTGAGTGAGCCAAAATGAACCACCATATTGTCAAGCATATAAATGCTTATTTAGCCTAAAGTAATTAAGTTAATTTCAATACTTTACTTATTTGTCGATTTAATTAAAAGAAACATAAACAGTCTGATGTAATCACAACTAGTTACAAACTGACTTTCGTTCGTTTAATCTTGTAAACAAGTGTCCCTACGCAATAACGAAAGCTTTGAAAAGTGTGTTCGCCCACTTCTTGAAATAATTTCACAGGGCTTGCTGGTAGCTGGCACACAGAATCATTTGATATATCTTAATTTCTTAAATTAAGCCTCCCTCAGATGAAAGTTTAACCAGCAGTATTTTCTTAGTAATGCCTACATGGAGAAAAGATAAGAGAAGCCCATAACTTTTTTTTTTTGAAGATGTCCGTTTTAATTTTACTTAAAAGCAAATTTGTTCTGCTTTGTCTGGTCATCGAAGGTTGCTCTTGCTGTAAGTAAAACAGTTCAATAAATTTTTTTTTCCAACTATTTTAAATGTATTCTTGGTACTTGGTATTGTGCCATAACCCAATATTTTTTTTTTTTTGATTTTTAAGCGTAAAAGTGATTTTCATATGTCTCGTTTTAATTTTACTTTAAAACAGTTTTTCGGCGAGTAAAAGAAATTGTCATTGGACTAATTAAGGCTTGGACTATACCAAGTATGCATCCACACTTTTCAGCCCAGCTGACGATGTGCGATTCGTGTTCGATTTCAGCAAATCTAAAGCTTTGCCTTACCCGGCGTCAACATGGGCTTTGCCACTGTTTCTCCAGCCGCATCCACGATATTTTCAAACATAACTCTCGTACACCCTTCACTGTCCGTTATCAATTGTCTCCAAAATTGAACAATTTTATTTCGTTTCAACAGCCGTTTGCATTTCGTCCGTTAGATTTTAGGCTGTTCGTTAATCATATTATTGTATTCAATCTTCAGCAAATGGTTAAATTGCATTTAGGTAAATTTTTAATTCCGCGGTGATATTGTTATGTCAAACGTACCGGTGTTTCTCAACGTCTTAGAAATTTTTATAGATCTTTCTAACGATTGGTTGACTAGAGCATCTTTAACATTTCTGAAGCGAAAACGGGCAAATAGTTGGCATGCTGTTTATTTTGATGAATGGTAACAAGAGATCGACACGATGCGATATCGGAAATCTAAATACAATGATGTAGTTCCGATAGTACAGCTGAATGATCCTCTTTAGTGGGATAAGCTTAATGAGCTCTTCCAAACTAACGGCAATGACCATTCTTAGATTGCAAAACTTGTTGAGAAGGTATTAGCAGGACTGAATTGGAAGATGTTACCACTCACCATGCATATTTTCTTCTGACTAAACTAGGTTGACGAAGTAGGAAAACAAGTGCGTGTAGAACCTTGTTGTCACTGATGCTGCAGATGCAAGCGGCTTTTTATTTTTTCTGAAGAATTACTTAAATAGACAGCTCTAAACCAGCCCTAAGACCGGATGTGTTTTTGAAACGGCACTCGTATCCTGTAAGAGAAGCGTGCAGCTACCGATGGATCCTATTCAAATAAAATATTTTTTTAATCATTTTCTTGAGAGATCTTCTTCTTCGTAAAAGGTTTAATGATTTCATCTTGTACATCTTTAATAGACATAGGTTTAAAATTTAGTGCAACATTATTCTGGGATATGCTAAAAATGACTTCAAAAATAATCCTTGTCCAATGGCAGAGGTGTACGAGGTGAGTTAGTAAGTATTTCGAAGCATATTTCACAGGATACGAGGCAATTGAATTGTTATAAAAGTTTATTAAAAAAATATTAAATTAAATACTGAAATGGTTTAAAACAGTCTATACAAAGCCCTTGATCGGTCCGTATGAAGTTTTTTATTTGAATAGCATAATTTTTTGCCCAAACGCAAAACGCGTTTCTAACAATTTCAGGGATAATAGTTCTGTAAATTTGCTGATATTTATGTATTTTCTGAGGCAATCTTCTGTAAACGATTGGAGCGTTTACAACTGTAATTCCCACAAGAAGATGGATATCAAGTGTTCGGTACCATTTAAGTCCTTTACTACTTGTAGTGGCATAGGAAATCATTTGATAACAATAATCTATTCCACACTTTCTTTTATTGTATACAAGAACAACTAGTGGTTTCAATTTTTCAGATCAATGTCGGCTTGCAGTAGCAGCACGAATATTACGAATATAACTTGTATTTGGTATTTATGGGATAATACTTTGTTACTTTGTTCATAACATTCTCCTCGTGAACCTCTCCATTTGAATGCAATAATATCTTTACTATCTTCTTCGAATATCTGTCCCCTTATTTTTATTTTGCATTGAAAAAGTCTTCTTTCTATTCAGACATGATATAGCTAATAATATATATATATATAACGTTCGTTCTTTGTGGAATGTTACGTGGTAAATGAAAACTATGCAATGGGCTTTTCGACCAATAATTAGATAGTTCGTCTCCATTTTTATGAAGATGGACATAATTCGGACACATTTAATTTTTGTTCAGCATATCTTAGCAGCAATGGAGAAAAAACCGTTATAATTCGCTGAAATAGATAACCTAAAAGGAAACTTAGCAATTCGTTTCCAAACGTAATAATCTTCTTTTTACGATAAATAAGTATTTTTATAGAAAGACATTATGGTGTAGCGCAGTATAAAAGCGCGCGACGCCTGGCTGAAATTTTCTTGAAAATTGGCGAGACAGTCAATGTGTTAAAGATAGACTGGACATTTGTTTTTCTTAGTTAAAAGCTCGAACGCACAAATTAAGGCAATTTCTATTTATTTATTCATTAATTCTTTCTCATAATTTGGCATATACTATACCGATCGTAACCTTCTTCGGTTCAATCTATAGATCGCACTTTTTAAGATATTTTGATGAAATTTGGTGTGCCGCGGTATTTCGCCACAAGTACAAAAAGCTGATGTAAAAGATTCGCACCGGGCAACTTTTTGGATCACTTCCCATACAACACCTTATTGCGAAAAGTCTTTGTACGAGTAACCGCATTAAGTGAACTTGTGTAGGCTATCTAACGGCGGGTGTTTTCACTTGTGCTTATCATAGACATGATTGTAAGAACCCGGATGAGCCGCTTTTTGCACTGATCCATGTTGAAGTTTCATCTTCATGGACGCTATATGCAAAACCAGATAAAGTAATAAGATGTGATGCTTGATGAAAAACAAGCAGGTTTTGAATGTCAATGAAATTGATTTAAGCTGAATATTATCTCTTTCCAGTGGTATTAATGTTATTAAAGGAGTTAAATGTCTTCAGGCATCAATAAAGAAATCAATATATTTCTTTGTGCTCATGCCCGCCTACATAACAAACTTTCACATGAGGAAACCTCGTTTCTTTTTCAATGCCGTCACGTTCGATACAAACATTATGTGAGCTAATTCGCAATTTTCTTTCTTGAATTACGCTTGCGAAGTGCTTGCACCTGATTTGGTACTCTGTACCGTTTCTTCTTCTACTCCATGTAAAATTCGCAGATTAATTAAATTTGCCATGTTGTTAAAAAAAAGCAACAACAAAACGCTGTCTTTAAAAAATTTGGTGCTATATCATTCCTTTTGACTGTTAACCTCAGTCCAAAAACCGTATAAATCGAGTCGCGCATCCACACACGTCAGATAATTTCAGCAATTATACAAACAAATCGTACCGCTTGTTTATGACTTATCAGCGCTCTTTAAATAATCTACGACCTTCACTTTATCCAGCAATCCATTCAAGGGCTGTATGCTTATTTAAGCATAGCAATGGCACTTCACAGGGACATTTCTTTCTTAAATTTCTGGTGGCGACTGAAAAATGCATTACTAGAAGTTTTGATTTCCTCCTGGACCCAAATGTGCGCTGATCGGGAGCAAGCGAAGGGCGACGCCGGCTTACCTAATATTACCGGCATTATTAATCTGGTAGCTTTTAGATTACAATTGTCGCAGGTTTTCGATATCTGTTTACGTATATCTTGTGTTAGGGATTTTAACTTATCTTAGGAATCGATCTAAGTCAAGTATACCTTGTTTCTTATTGTAGTTTAGTTACTAAGTTTGATGAGAGAAAGAAAAAATAATTTAATTTTTACATAAACTCATTTTATTGTAGGATTGTCGACAACCTTTCCAAGGCGGTTCATTCTTCGATCACGAAGGTTTACCCTACTGTGAAACTCACTACCATGCCAAACGTGGTTCATTGTGTGCCGGTTGCTCGAAGCCGATTACGGGACGTTGCATAACGGCCATGTTCAAGAAATTCCATCCCGAGCATTTTGTATGCGCCTTTTGTTTGAAGCAGCTTAATAAAGGCACTTTCAAGGAGCAAAATGATAAGCCCTACTGTCACACTTGCTTCGAAAAAATATTTGGCTAGTAACTACGCCTTAAAATCATTTCATCACGTACCAATTGAGACAAATATGATATATTAATAACAAAAAAAAAAAGAAATGCAATAAGAAAATATTAAAATGCCGAGAAAATTGTCTCCCGTATTTACGCATACTTTGTCATTTAGAAAATTTATGTATAAAAATTGTAATTGCCTTGAATTTTGTGTAACCCTACCTTATAAGTGATATGTATTCTCTGCAACTAAACGCGTAAAACATTTCATTTTATTTTTTCCATTAAACTTTCTTTTTTGCCAAGAGGAGAAAACTGCTGTTATTCTAATAATGATGATATTTTTCCATAGCTTTTAGATTTCAATAATTTTATAATTTCTCTTAACTCTTAATCTATCTGCTTGCTCTATTGTTTGCAATAAAACGACATTTTTATTATTACTTCTGTAATAACGATGATATTTAACGAACTTTGCCACATAATTAAGATAACGTACGAGTAAAAGCACTTTTATATACATAACGGGAATTCTTACTAAATTATAATTATAAATTAAAATTATAAAAGTCGTTTTGGATTAAATGCATGTCTATATTAGGTTTTTCTTTTTAATTATTAAATAGAATTATTAAAAATTTTTAACTAAACAGATATAATCGAGACATATATAAACGGTTTAATAAAAATTGTCAATACAACGTATGATTATGTATTCATATATATATACGAATAATTTTTTTTCAATTGAATTAATCAAGACTAAAATGTCAAGTCATTGTGCAGCTAAAGGAAAAGCCATGAAAGGTCTAATGTGAAGCACAACTTCGAAAACATATCACAATGTCTGTCCATTGTTTGAAATTACATGCGGAATCAATTCTGCTTAAATAAAGAGACCATTGAATTGTTCTTTGATTTCTTGGGACTAGAACTAGCGGTTTGCTTATAATGGGAAACAGCCTGCAAAGGCTTTTAGATATTGAGTATACAATGAATATTTAATGACGGCCTTAGTTATATGTCAATCGCGCTTGTGAGGGCCGCCTATGGCCATCTACGTTTCTATTGCAAATGTTGACAATATTTACGGTGGACGATAGCCGGAAGCGAAGTCTCGGGATGACTTCAGAACTCACACATTGTGCCATTGCAAATCGGTTGAATTATTAAACCTGGATTTCCCTTTTTTGAGGACGAGATCATATTATTTTTAAGCTCCTTAACAATACTTGGTCTAAAAACACTACTCGTGTTTGCAAACTAAATAGGAAAAAATTTAATGCCACTATATTAATCGAGCGGCCAAACCACTGGCCGTTCTAAACAGTGTCCTCTGTAAAACCTATCAAAATAAAAGCGTGAGTGAGTTGCTGGGTCATCTGATTTACTTTTAGTCAAATCTAGAACCAAAATTATATAAATAGCTTTTCTTTAGACTTTTAGAAGACTTAGCTGTTAGACATAAAACTCACTTATATAAGTGATTGTCTCGATATACCCTTTAATGAACCCTAGTCATTCAGCTTTACACTAATTTACGCCAGAATATAAGTGTGTGGAGCGTTTTGCTATACAAATATATTTGAGTTTAACTCATTTGAAAATTTTATATCTGTGAGGAGAGGGCATCATGTTGTAAATACCTTGACAGTATGATTTTTACAACAATTGAAACAAATGTACTTCAACTGTTGAAGAAGAAAACTTGCATAGAGTTAGAAGAGGATGAATTGAAGTATATCCCAAATTCAAATTTGAAACTCAAAAAAGTGCTTATAAAGCATAAAAGATTTGAGGCAATTTTGATGACATTTGATTATAGGAGAGATGTTTGAATGTTTGCAAGTTTTTTCTTTTAAATGTTCTAGTTTCGAAAAATGTGGCTGTTTGCACCAAATTATGTCAATTTGAATAACTATTTTCAAAATGCTTAAATGAATAGTTATCCTCAGTAGGAGTATAATCAGATTGTTTCCCTAGATTTCGCTTGTGATTGTCAAGTATTTAATTTTGCATAAATATTTAGCCGCAACAACGCATCTATAATCCGCAAAACCCAATAGCTGTGCTTAAGAAACTGTGCCCATAAGTGACATTAATCGCCCGTGCATGGAAGTAAATAAGGGTGCACTTTCAGGTTTTAGTTGAACTGTGAAAAGAGTGAAAAGTTCGAGTCAAATTAGAGACTTTCAAAGAGGATAGCAGCGCAGCAAATATTGTCTTCAGAAGTAAGTCCGTTAACTCTGACAACTCTTCGTTTATTGACATGCGAGCATTTCCAAGCACCCCAAAACTGTGTCTTAATAGACCATCATTATAAGGTACTTTCTTCGTTTCCTCATATCTCAATAGCGAACTACTCTATTGGTGAGTGCGCCGGGGGCGACAGAACTTCCCATTCGAGTTACAACAGTGTACCCTTGACAATTTTTGCAATAATACACCAATTTGTTCGATTGACGTCGATACACACTAGTATGCGGTAACACCACACATCTTGTTGATCCCATCGTGTGGGCAGTAAAACTTTGTGGTCATGAATATTCCCCTCCAGATGCCTCTGGTCCTCTCCTGGACAAACCTAGGACCTTTTACGCTTGATATTGCCGTAGTAGACCCACCTTTCATTGCCAGTCACATGTTGCGGAAAAATTTTCTTTTGCCTGACAAGCAAAGAAACCGGGGTGTTAAAGCGTTTCGAAATGGCATTTTCATTCAATCAATCAATCAATTCATTTTCTGCTTTTCAGAACTTTCCCATCGCGTGTAGACGTCTAAAAACAGTTGACTCATCATATACCAAACAGTGCGAAAGTTCTTTGAGCAGCATCACCATAAGCTTCTTGAAATTGTTTGATGGGTGTCGATAGCAGATTTATTTAAATCAAACAAAAAAAGTGTAACTCAATAGCACTAAATGGAAACCTTTGTAACTTATTTCGCGCACTTGCCCCGCGTTTCATTATATGTGGCGAATTTCATAGTGCAGACACGGTCCGGGGCTTGGTGTGAAACAATTATAGGAAGTACCTTCATTCCAACCGATCTCTGCATTTTAAATGATGGGAGACCAATACATTTGTTCCTTCCGCAACATTTCTGCAACAAAAAGGCGTCTTTTCCTACAACGGCTACAAGAGTACTCCTAGTTTATTGGATTTAAATTCAAGCAGCACAAATACCAATTCATTTTTTTCTCCATTACTTATTTTACTTCATAACATGTAATGTAATAATGAATGCATAGTTAATTTTTCCAAACTGGCTTTATATTTCTAAAAATAAAATCGTCTGAGTACATGTACTTAACAAACAAAAACAAACCGACATAATTCCATAATAAACCAAAACAAAAAAAATGCATGTAAAAAAGCATTTAATATCTCTTCAAATATTCGATATCAAATAGTATATGTGAATATATATCCCGTTTATGAATTGCGCTTTTACTCCTTAAGTCTATTTTATAAATATTTGTTTCTTAAATAGATTCTGAAAGGGAATACAATTTATCTATAGTCTGGATAAGATTACGGACATTGTTGCTATTGAATACGTATGCATATTTTGAACATGCCAGTTAAGCGATGAGTTATAAGTTTTTGATCATGTCCCTGTTTCCACCTAAGCAATAATTTCCCAAGTTAAAATTAATTTTGCAAGAAAAGAGACGACAACTCACCACAAATGAGCGCAAGTATTTAGCAAAGAAAGTTATTAACCTAACGCCTTAAACAGACAATTCTTAAATTGTATACTAATTGAGTAAGTGGCAGCGTCAAAGCCATCTCTGGGATCGGGACTTTCTTGGATAGTTATTAGCCAGGTTAAGAATGCGGACTTTTCAGAATAGCTGTCTACGAGCGTACTTTGGGCATAATATACATTACACGAATTAAGATAAATATGCTAAAAATGATACTGGAAGCTAAACGGAGGGTTGGAAGCAGCTTTGGAGTGCAGCTTTGGAGTGCACTCGACTACAGCTGGCCTGGCTAAATATGATTCCAAAACCTGGTTCTGTAAAATCTTAAGTGCTAACTGATTTACATATGACATATAGTTGCATTATTTATTCAAAATTTTACATTACATCCATAGCTTCTTTCAGAAATTGTTGGTGAAACTATTCAAAGTAATTTTTTTGTTTAGCTTCGTAGCACATCAAGCATATTTCGAATATATCGAAATGTGGGATGGATCAAAGAATTTTTTAAAAATAGACGAATAGAATTAGTCATTTTCAGTGCGTTCATTGTGAAGCTTCATTTCTAAGCGCAGGGGACTTAACCAAACATGTTGTTTTCATCCACTTGAGATTCATGCAACATCTTACGAATATCAAATACATATTGATTCTCCGCATTTTTTTTATTTATTGGAAGTAGAGCTGACCTGCTTTCAGAAAAAATAACAAACCTTCTGATACCATCGGAGATAGCAACATTAATAGCAAGTCGAATGGCGAGCAACTCAATAAAAGTTGGGGAAAGTTCCTCCGCCACTTGTACTGTTTTAGATAGATGTTTCACGACCGAGAAGCCAGATAAATTATGTCCGACGGAACCGTCGGTGGAATATATATCGTAGCCGTTGTTGTAATAAAAAAGAATTCTTTTCTTGGCATAACATCCTCATACAAGAGAAGTTGACATTTTGTTTTGAGGAACTGATCGATTCGAGAATGTTCATGAGCTTTTTTTGCAACTTTTTCAGTACCCATCACCAACACACGCTTGGATAAAAAATTAAGTATCCGCAGCCGCATTTGAAGAGGAATCGAAAAGTTTAAGAGAATTTTACCAAGCTTAATCAAGTTGATACGGTCATAGGCTTTGCTGATGTGCAGGGAAAGCATGACAACCATTTTCCCTGCTTTTTTTAAGCTGGCTATGAGAAAACACAGTTCATTAACGCACATATTCGTAGATTTGCGCTTTTGATAGGCGTAAGAACGAGGTTGATAGTCTTTATGAATAAAGATATCAGTGAAATTGGTCTGAAGCCATTTAAATCATTTAAGTCTTTACCTGCTTTAGGAATGGGAACTACTTTGATGCATCGCAAATTTGAGGATATAAAGTTGATGGACCAGCAGTTGT